GATGCGGGCCCCATCTGGGGGGGGGCTCCCGCCTGAGATTTCCTCGCTATTCACTCACAGACGGTGCTCCCGCTCGAGACGTCCTCAAGATAAATGTGTGCGTGTGTGATCTTGATGATGACCGACGACAATGGCGGGATGATGGTAGCACTGATTGATGGTGATGATGTAATGATGATGACGATGGTGATGGCGGGTGTGAAAACAGGTGAGTGATGCTGATGCTGATGACGATGATGATGATGAGGGTGATGATGGTGATGATGACGATGATGATGCTGATGATGATGATGATGATGATATTGATGATGAGCACAGGCGTGGCGTGTGTGCTAGTGGTGGTGGTGTTCGATGGTGTAATGATGTTGGTGATGAGGATTATGATGCTGGTGAATAGGATGGTGACTGGGATGGAGATGAGGATATCGCAGTGTTGGTGATGACGATGACGATGCTGATGCCGATGATGATGATGATGATGCTGATGATGATGATGATGCTGATGCTGATGCTGATGCTGATGCTGCTGCTGCTGATGATGATGATGATGATGATGATGATGATGATGATGATGATGATGATGGTGATGGTGAGGAAGAGAGAGGAGATGAGGACGAGGATGAGGACGAGGAGGATATCCTGCGCAAGGGGTGTGCAGAGAAAACAAGAAGCCACTCTGGATGTGTGGGACAATTTGGAGCATGCGCGGGCGCCCCGCGACCACTTTGCTTAGGTTTTTGGGCAGGAGCGGCGGGGGTGCCGCATATTGCTTGCTGCGCGCAGGCCGACCATCCTGGTCAAAACAACAATACCAAATGCTCCAAATCTGGAGCATGCGCAGGGCCCTCTTTTCTCTGAGCTCTTATCTGTTTCACGACTCCTCAAGATGTCAGAATTTGTCCATCGGTGTCGGTGCTTTGCGCTCCCTGGAGGAGCTGGCCTTATCACAGAATGCTCGGCACTTCGCGTCAGGGGTATTCAAGATCCTGGACTCCTTGGGGCCACGGCCACAAACATCTGGGGTCCCTATTGGTTACCCATAGCTGGCGCACCTGGCGCGGCTGGAGCACGTGGCACAGTTGGCGCACGTGGAGCACGTGCCGCACCTGGCAAGCCTCCAGCGTGCCTGGTGCACACTTGGAACCCGTGGGGCGCATGGCATGCGTGGCGTTCCCAAGCGATTTGCTGACACTCGGGTCTTACTTATGTATTGGGAGGGCGGGTGGGAGTGAGCTAGACGGCCTGCCAACTAGGATGGTAGCTTGATCACTGCTCCATATTGATATACACACCCTCCCCCACCCGGCCGGCCGCCAACCCGGAACCATGCCGACTCCATGCGGGCCCGCCCCACACCATCCCTGCCAAAGCACCATACAAACTGCACTCTGCCTCCACATCTGGAGCATGCGCGGCCAACCCGATGCGCCCCCCCCCTCCACCATCCCTGTCAAAAAAAACAATGCGAAGTACACTTTGGGGCCAAGTCCTGAGTCATGTTCGTGAGGCCCGCGAGCACTTTGTATTGTTTTTGGCAGGGACGGCGGGGGGGTCAGCATAGTCCCTGCTGTGCGCGCACGGCTACCATCCCTGACAAAACACAATACAACATGCACCTCGCGGCTAAATCTGGAGCATGCGCGGCCATCTCGCGATCACTGTCAAGTGGTTCTTGACAGGGACGGCGGGGGTGGTGTCGCGTGGCCTGCTGTGCGCAGACCCGCCAGACACAATGATGGACATTAATTTTCGACCAGGATGGCGGGGGCCGACATGTTTCCCGATGTGTGCTGTTAGGTGCGCAGGCGCACCTGACGCACTCTGCACGTGCCCCTAGCGTGGCGCACCTGGCGCGGCTGGAGTGCGCGGCACCTGGCGCACTCGGAGCACGCGGCGCATCTGGCGCATCTGGCGCTCTCGGAGCACGTGGAGCTCGGGCCCCACGGGTGCCTGGCGCGCGTGGCGCCCCTGGCACGCGTGGCGCACCTCGCCCAAGCGTCGCGCACCTAGGAGGGTCGGCTTTGGTTCCCGGTAGCTGCCCATCCAAAGACGACCGCTGAACATGGTCAGGCTATGTGTTGGGAGGGCAGGTGGGAGTGAGCTAGACGGCTTGCGGGCGGGTGGGTAGCTTGACCCCTCCCCCTACCCCCTACCCCTGGACCTGGACGGGGGGGGAGGGGGCGCGAGGCGTTGGAGCGTTCAAGATGGCCTCGGCGAGAAGGCCAAAATCATTAATTGTGCGAAGGTTTCGGCCACATTTGGGCCTCCTGGGGGGGGCGCGCTGATTTGGGCCCTCCTTTTGATCGATATCCCCCAAGATGGCCCCAAGATGGTTCCCAAGGGAGCCCCAAGAGGCCACCTAAGGTGCCCCCTAGAGGCTCCCAAGAGACTGCCCAGAAGGCCCCCAGAGGCCTCCCCCAGGGGCACCCAAGACGCCCCTAGAGGCTTCGGCGAGGTCAAGATCACTGATGCAAGGTTTTGGCCATTCTTGGGCCTCCTT